GTTTAAGCTGATGAAGGAATGGTAGTCGAATTTTCCCACTTTGATATGAGTAGAGCTGATGTTTCCACTGAATTTCACATATCCTTGCTTCCTCAAAAGTTGTTCTCATTTTGTGTGGACTGCAGTTTCCACCTCGCGGCTCGACTCCCGCTGGAAACGTCAGTTCTACTCATATGCTTGTGTAAAAATTCGGCTACCAGTCCTTTATCACCTTAAACGAAATAGGGTGAATACATCTATTAGTATATAGTTTATAAGAGTTAGAATCACTTTAGGTCGCTTGGGTTTATGGAAGTCCTGATAATTGGGCATGTAAGGGGCTCTACTGGGTCAGGGAATTTTACCTTGCTTTGCATCTTAAAGGGCTAGGGAGTGCTAAGTAGGTAACAACTGATATCAGTCATCCCTCGGCCAACCTACTTTAAATGCAAATTTAGTTGGGTGAGGGAGAACATTTGCTAGTGTGAACAAGTTGACGAAATCCGCCTAACGTCAGAATTTCAGGAAATGAAAATATGATTGTAGCTGGAAAATCATAGATAAATAGGTTTATACCACATAGTTTGTTGCTAAGAGTTATTCATACCTGTACTTTGATTTATTAATGTATTAGATATAAACTATCCTACTCGTGGCATGTTTACTGGAGATATCTATAGAAGTTTGGAAATTTGGTATTTTGAATTTGGGACAGGAGTACTTCTGCTAAATTTTAATTTTACCGGCATAGTAAATGCAATTGTGATATCACAAAAAATGTGAGAATATTTATTGTCACTAACCCTAATCAAATCTCAATTCTACTATAGGTTCCATTCAGATATTATATGACAGAATCCAAGTAAATTCATCTCTCCAGCTGATAATAACTTTATTTTGAAATAACATTGATTTTCACAACTGGGTCATCGGTTTTACAATTTGCTAACTCAATTATAAATCAACGTAAACTTGCTCATTAACCTACAACAATAAGTGTATACAGATATTATGGGGTCATTCTGATCAGGTGGGTCGGATACAGACACCAGAAAGCAGGTTCCGAAAAATGGAAATTAAAAGGGCCCTACAACAAGGCTACTGTCTCTGATTACAGCATCTCGAATCTCGCATTGAAGCAGATGCCGAACGGAGACAATCGAGTCGGTAAGAGTGGAAGGAATGCTGCACGACTAGCATGAAGTAGGCCGATGATCTCCTGCTTCCTGACGACGGAGCCAAGCAGGTTGGGCAACATCATAAAAGGCTTGGCTCGCTGCAATGAAGAGCTGGCGGCCGCAGTCAGTTGTGCTTAATATAGAAAGCATCATCAGCTTCCCTGTCGGCAAATGAAACAAGTGGCACTTGAGGCAAAACTTGAGAAAGCATTCGCCACTTTGACAATAAAGTGTCCACATGGAACGATGAAATGCAAGAAGTCCGAGACACAAGTGCTTGGTAGCAGAATTAGGGATTGACAGCCTATTTATGAATGTCTGGTTTATGACGGCCAATGTGTCTGTTCTAAAAAGAGGTTGACCTTTATCCTTACGGAGGAGGTTTGCGAGAATGCCAGTAGATCGTATATATCAAGTGCATCCACCCTATTTCGCTTAATATGATGAGGGGAAGATTGGTTGAATTTTTCCGCACTAAAATGAGCAGACTCTGAGATTTCAGTGAATTTCACATGGCCTTGATTTGCCAAAAGTTATTCTCAAAAAGACTGAAGAGGACTGAAGTTTTGAGCTCGTCTGAACTAGTCTCATCAGCAGTCCAAGTACACTCGAACCACGACAGTGGCGAAGTGCTTAACGTGTCCAAAGTATGCGCT